AAAAACAATTACTACCAACCTGCCTTCCATTGAGGACCTGTACACTGTATGAGTCAAACAAGGGAGCTGTGAAAATATATACAGACCCCTCACATCCTGGACATAAATTGTTTCAACTCCTACCCTCAAAACTGTATGGCACTGCACACCAAGAGACAAGGACAGTTTTTCCCCAAATAACATCACTCTGCTAAACAAATAATTCACCATTGTCACACTATTCACTAAGGCTGCATTACTATTACTGTTAGTCCTCTCATCGTTCCTATCACCCATCTCCTCCCACTTATGACTGCAGGACTGCAACTTTGTTGCTTGTATCCTTACTATTTATATTGATATTGATTGTTTCCTGATTGCTTATCTGTACCCTATGACTATCATTAATTGCTGTATGATTCTTGATGAATGTATCTTGTTGAAGGGGAATAGTAATAAGGATACAAACCTGTTGGTCTTAGTAGAAACATTTGTTTTCTGTAAGACATACATATTATGCCTTGTATTTGTTTCCTGCAACTGACTTCCTGTGGCACTATTAGGGTCTGTAAAATATCTGGCAAATGTCAAAAGGTGTGATCCTTGCCATTTGAACTCTTATCAATCTCCTACAATCTATGGACATAGAACTATAAAAGCAGCTGTAAAGGTGACACCTTTTGATCTCCCTGAGAAGCTAAGTGATTAATTGAGAGAGATAAGGAGATAGCTGAAGGGGATAATTAAGATACTCTATCCTGTCCAGAGGATAAACAAAGAGCCCAGGATGGGGGATTTTGCTGATGTTTATAACATTTCTAACAGTATAAAAAGGAGTTACACCTTCTCTGAAGTGTAGTTCTTCTTTGCATATCCTTGGGGCATGTTGGGAACAACTGACCATCATGTCTTTAAACTTGGATCAAAGATTAAACACTGATTGTTAGTCAAGCCTCCGTTTAAGTCTCATTTTTGGCTCATTGTGACTTGGATGTATTGTCAAACTTCTATGGGTCTAAACATATTTTCAAACCTTACATTGTCTTTTTATGTATACTGAGAGCATATGCACCAAAGACAAATTCCTTGTGTGTCCAATCACATTTGACTAATAAAGAATTCTATTCTATTCAAATTGATATTGACCAACCATATCAAGGATCTATCCCTTTGCAAGAAGTGAGAACTAAACCAAGGGAAGATGTCTATGGAGATTCTCAGTCATTCAAGTCATGGTTGTCCCAAAGGTGCTTTTTTCAAAAGGCAACTGGACTTTCTATGTTTTTTGTTGAAGACGTTTGGCTTCTCATCCAAGAAGCTTCTTCAGTTCTTCGGTGGATGAGAAGCCTAAACATCTTTAAGCAAAAAACATACAAACATAGAAAATTGATGGCAGAAAAAAAAGAACTAGTGGTTTATTGAGTCTGTCTTTCTATCGGTATTATACAGAAGCCTAAATCTCATTAGAGGGAAGAACTGCTCTGAGCAGCCTTCCCAATCTCCAGAGGAGTTACATTTCAGCCTTATTACTCCCAAAGTTTGAGTAAAAGAAGTAGTTTGCAGAAAGCTCACCTAAAAAATTCTTTCCTTTCGCAGGGCTGGTTCTCAGGAGAGATAAAAAAACACTCTATATCCCAAAACTTTTGACTGATTTCCTGTGGCTCTCAAGGATTTGGGACAAGGCAAGACAGAGGCCCCAAAGGAGCCGCCTTCCCTTGTACTGACAAGAGACCTCCAAATTGTCTTGAATCTGTTGTTCCCAACAAGCCAGCTTTGTTCGTGAAGATTTTAAATCTGCTAAATGGTACAAGTAAATGCCATCTGCTTGCCCAGAAATCTCCATTACGTCAAAGCAAGAAGCACACAACAGGGCCTAGAAAAATTGTGCTTAAAAAGAGCGGGTGACTATATATGGTAGAAGAAACTCCTAAACTATAGATACATTATTTTAAAGGTTTGTAAAATTTGTGCTGCTATGCATTTGAATGCAAAATGTATAAGTCACCATGTTCTTTGTGTGAAGCATTTCTTTTTGATAATCAGGAAAATTTTAATGTAATGAAATACACAGTACAAAGAAAAAGATAAACTGTAATGTTTAATCCTTCTGTGGTATGTCAGGATTGCTGTCTAACCAATTGTATTAAAATGCATAGCTGACACAGATATATGCCTCTCAATAAAATATGGTAGTCTGAAAGGTGCTATTAGATGCCTTCCAATTTTTGGCCAGAGACTCACATGGCTCTCCTTCCCATTGAATGAGTTTTCAATGAAACTCCCCACTGTTTGTAATTCTGAGTGTCACAAAGACAAACCTTGGGAGAAGCACCCCATCCTCAGGACCTCTGGTGAATGTGAATTGCTCACCACTTGGAAAACTACTGTTGCAAAATATGACTTTAAAGGGGAAAACAACATAAAAAGAGAGGAAAGTGTAGAATGGCCTTAAAGCAGTTTTTTGTTTCTTTAATCACAAGATAGAAACATCATAGGGTATATTTTTAATAGAATTGATCTATCTTCAGTTAACAGTACAAATTTGGAGAGAATTCACATCTGATCTTTTAACAGAAAAGTGGTAACTGCAGTATGGAAGTTTATGTAAATGACATGACAACATCCATATCTAAGAGGATTGGTTAATTTTGGTTGAAGTCATTCATTATGTTAGATTTTGTGTGGTCCAATTAATCTATTGAAAGGGGCTATATGTTTGGTATTGCGTTACTAGAGTCAGTTTCAATGTTTCTGCTTTGTATTTTGCATATTCAAATTCAATTAATTTAAATTTAATATTAATATATCAATTAATTTATAGTGTTTTATATTTTTAATCTTAAATTGTTCAGTTGTTAATGTTTTATTATACTTATTAATTTGTCAACTGCTCAGAGGTCCTCTATGAGGGAGACAGGGGGTTAAGAAGTTTGATACATGAATAAATAAAATAAATGAATAACATCCTCGATTAATATTCTGCACTTAAATCTTAAGCAAGGCATACATTGTTATTCCTCCCCACTGTTCCTCTTTTTGGCCATCTGGCATTTTGGTTGTATGTGTGAGACACGTCCCAAAAGACCTAAAAAAAAAACATTTTCAGAGAATAATAAAAAAAACTCTCTGCAACGAACTCTTGCAGTAGATAGCCACCAATTCTTTCAAGTTCTTCCCTCCCATTCCCTCTTTGCTAATGTCCCTTTTTTATTCCCCAAAGATGTCAGAATACTGTAGTCCAAGGGTGTCAAACGTGCGGCATCATGTCACGTGACCTCCCCCCTTTGCTAAACCTGGGATGGGCGAAGCCAGCACGTGATGCATCCGGCCCCCGGGCCATGAGTTTTGACACCCCTGCTGTAATTACTAACAATTTGCACTATGGTATGGTCCTCTCAAAGATCCAGAGGCTTTTGAAACATTTCAAGCATTTTCAAGTCCTAAGGATAATAAAATCTGATGTGATAACGGTGCCCAAAAGACCAGTGTAAGACTCTTTGTTTAAAAGACTCTTTGGAGTCTTTTAAACACAGCACAATAAGAGTTCTTCATCTGTATAACTAAAATGCCTCTTAATTGCTCCAAATATTCCTCCTCTTTATTAGTAGGCATTTTTGGAAAAAAATTAAAAACAGCCCAGAGGCTGGAGTGAAAGAATTGAATGAATCTCCCATATCTTGAGAAGAGAACTTTGCATTTCTTTGCCCTATGTTCACAGCAATGCCGATATTTCCCCTTTATTTTCCTTGTTGAAAGTTATGGTTCTTATACAATGCATTTTTACAAATGAAACACTTTTTTCCTCAGGTCTCCACCACCAAGGAGTATGCAAAAAAAAAAAAAAGGGCAGCACCATGATATTAATATCACCCACCCATGTTTTGCTAATAAACATTCAAAAGCACAATTTTTTTCTCTTCAATATTCTTACAGCAGTTATCATGTTCAACAGTCTTTGCCTGTAAAATTTTACAGTGTGGTTGTTGCTAAATCCTCCTTCATATCTTCTCTATTCTGTGCTTTAGCTAACCGTAATCTAAATAGAATTCTCTTTGACCGAAAATTCTGAAAATGTTAGGAAAAGATGAACTTTAAACCCTCTTTGTCATATTTGAGGAATAACGATATGAGTGCTCCTATTTTTCTTTAATAATGTATTTTTAAGTCTTGCCGCAGATTTTTGGGACCTACCAGAAATGTTTACTATGACTCCAAAATATTTTATTCAATAAGGATGCTGGCTGGGGGATTCTGGGACTGAAAATCGGGAGGACATCTAGGTAGAAGGTTAATACGGGTAGTCCTCGAATTGCAACAGTTCATTGCGATCGTTCAAAGTTACAACAGCACTGAAAAAAGGGACTTGTGACCATTTTTCACACTTAAAACCATTGCAGCTTCCCCATGCTCACATGCTTTACATTCGGATGTTTGACAACTGACTCATATTTATGACCGTTGCAGTGTCCCACGATCATGTGATCCCCTTTTGCGACAAGCAAAGTCAAAAGCAAAACCAGATACACTTAACCATGTGACTAATTTAAACAACTGCAGTGATTCACTTAAAAAATGTGGCAAAATAAGTTGTAAAATAGGACAAAACTCACTTAACAAATTCCTCACAAAAAATTTTGGGCTCCATTGTGGTTGTAAATTGAGGAGTACCTGTACTTTATATGTTGCATTTCTATGCCCTATGATCAATATGCAAAAAAAACCCACCCCACCCCAAAACACTTTTTGCAGAATTCCACTATATCTGCTAAACTAACTAAACTAACATTTTCCATTTTGTTTCTCTCTTCCCTAATGTCTAATACTAAGACATTTTACTAAAGTAAATCAGCTGCATTTCCAAAGGGGATCAAAAAGGAAATTCAAACCTTCTCTATATTCATCACCTTTTGCCTCATGTGGGTTTTCTTGTGTGCAGTAAGGGAGGAATTTTGAGTAAAACACCGTCCACACTCTGAGCATTTGAAAGGTTTCTCCCCTATGTGTAAACCTACATGATTTACAAGTTTAGATCTAGTACTAAAACCTTTTCCACAATCTGGACACTCATATGGTTTCTCCCCTGTGTGAGTCCTCTGATGCACCACCAGGTGAGAATTCCGACTGAAACTTTTCCCACAATCCAGACACTCGTATGGTTTCTCCCCTGTGTGAATCCGCTGGTGCACCACCAGGTGAGAATTATTACTGAAACCTTTCCCACAATCTGGACATTCATACGGTTTTTCTCCTGTGTGTGCTCTCTGATGGTATACCAGGAGACAATTCTGACTGAAACTTTCCCCACAATCCTGACACTCATATGGTTTCTTCCCAGTGTGAATCCTCTGGTGCACCACTAGGTGGGAACTCAGACGGAAACTTTTCCCACAATCTGAGCACTCATATGGTTTCTCCCCAGTGTGAGTCCTCTGGTGTATCACCAAGGCATAATTCCGAATGAAACTTTTCCCACAATAGAGACACTCATATGGTTTCTCCCCTGTGTGCGTCCTCTCATGTATAATTAGGTAGCAGTTCTGACTAAACGTTTTCCCACAATCCGAACACTCATATGGTTTCTCCCCAGTGTGAGTCCTCTTGTGTATCACCAGGCTGGAATTCTGACTGAAACTTTTCCCACAGTCTGAACACTCATACGGTTTCTCTCCTGTATGTATCCTCTGGTGTCTCACCAGTTCAGAACTGTGACTGAAACTTTTCCCACAATCCAAACACTGATATGGTTTCTCCCCAGTGTGAGTCCTCTGGTGTATCACCAGGTAAGAATTCCGACTGAAACTTTTCCCACAGTACGGACACTCATATGGCTTCTCTCCAGTGTGTATCCTTTGGTGTACCACCAGGTTGGAATTGTGACTGAAACGTTTCCTACAATATGGACACTCATATGGTTTCTCTCCTGTGTGTGTCCTCAGGTGTACCATGAGGTCGGAATTGTGAGTGCAACTTTTTCCACACTCTGGACATTCATACAGTTTCTCTCCTGTGTGTGTCCTCTGGTGCACCACCAGTTGGGAATTCTGACTGAAACTTTTCCCACAATCCAGACACTGATATGGTTTCTCCCCTGTGTGAATTCTTTGGTGTGCCACCAGATGGGAATTAACACGGAAACCTTTCCCACAATCTGGACACTCATAAGGTTTCTCTCCTGTGTGAGTTCTCCTGTGTATCACAAGGTGGGAACTATGAGTGAAACCTTTCCCACAATCCAAGCACTCATATGGTTTCTCACCTGTGTGAGATCTTTTGTGTACCACCAGATGGGAATTAAGACGGAAACACTTCCCACAATCTGAACATTCATATGGCTTCTCCCCTGTATGAGTCCTCTGGTGCATCAAGAGATTGGAATTCTGACTGAAACCTTTCCCACAATCTGGACACTCATACGGTTTCTCCCCTGTATGTGTCCTCTGATGGTTTACAAGGTGGGAATTCTGACTGAAAGCTTTTCCACAGTTCGGACACTCGTATGGTTTCTCACCTGTAGGAGTCCTTTGGTGTAAGACTAGAGGAGCGTGTTTGCTAAAATCTCCATACTGGAAGCTTTGGTATGGATTCTCTCCGGTGTAAGTCCTTTTATTTTCAAAAGGGAAGGAGCTGTAGCAAAAAACCTTCTCACATCCGGAACATTCATTCGGTTTTTCTCCAGTATGGAAACTCTCATGCATAATCAGCTGTGATCCACAATCTGTGCTTTTCCCACATTGGTGGGGTGTTTCCACCAATGGATTCTGGAGGTCAAAAATATTTTGGATCCCGTCTTGCCTGGCACTTTCATTCAAGCTATTCTTTATTTCTTCACAGGGCAAGGCTCGCACGACTGCCTGCCCTACATAATTATCCAAGTCACAGGGTTCTCCCCACTCACTTCCAGGTATTTCCATCTTTTTTCTGAATTTGGATATGAGTTCCAGAGTCTCAATTTTTTCCCAGCTCAAAACCCAGTTCCTGTTATTCTCTTCTGTCTGTTACTTGACAGGGAAGGAGAGTTTTGTTGTTTTCTGCAGGAAACTGGAAGATTTTGATTGCTGACTGCATTCACTTTCTTCTTTAATTCCTCTTGTGATTTTTACTTATCCAGAATGTCTTCTTGGCATCCTCTTTGTCTAGAAGATTGACATAAGTTTAATTGGTTGTTTATAAAATGGGTGCCCAACAGGTGAAAAACCACAAGTAGAAAGCATACATTACAATGAAAAAGCAAGCATGCCAAAATGCTAGATTAATCCCCAACTTTAATTATGATTCATTTGACACATAGAATATTAATACTAATAGAATACTAATGAGATTCAAACATTCACATAATCGTAAAATTCTCTTGTTGACTTGAGTAAATCACAAATTCTTAGCGCTACAAAGGGTTATCATCAAATATATCTAGAAATGCTGAGGATATATTATACAGACATCCACACAGATATACACTTACAAATATATGTTGGAAAACCATGTCCCAGAAATGGTACACTCAAACCTTTTGGTCTAATTTTAGAGATGTGGGGGGCTTCAACTGAAGAAATGATGCCCAGAGCCTCTGCAAGATTTAATGCAGCAGTTTTGCTCCTTTCTTGGCTAAGAAAGCACCATGCTTATAAAAAGCACCAGCGACTCCTAAACTGAAGGAGACTTTTTTTCAATCCCCCAACCAGCAGAAATTTGAAGGCGCCGCTTTTAAATCAAGGGGCACCAGTGGAATTAAAATTCGGGGAGGGAAGAAATATGTAGCAGCTGAGTAAGTTGCAGCTTAGTTGAATCTCTGCTTCTACACAATGGAGAAAACCAAACAGCATTACTTGTTCCCGGCTCCACCCCGACCTCAACTCACCTTTCCAGCTGCTGCTTCGACCCTTGAAAAAGCGAGAGCCACTGCTTGTTCCACCATCCTCCCATGGATGAGCCGGAAGAGGAAGTTCCCCTCCCGCATCCACTCTAGCAATACCAGATTGTTTCAACGCCTTTCACTCCCAGTCTCTCTGCCTCCTGTTGGATGCCAGTACTCAACAACCACCGATGCCGCTACTGTATTGGCGGCTTTCTAGGCGCTGATCTATGGCGCGCCATCTAGCGACAAAAGCCCGAAAAACACGTTCCTTTTGTCTATTCTGAGGCGTTTGCTAGATTTTTGATGAATAGAAAAGAATGGCATACATACAATAACAGAGTTGGATGGGATCTTGGAGGTCTTCTAGTCCAACCCCCTGCTCAGCCATGCCAAATGGCTGTCCAGTCTTTTCTTAAAAACTTCCAGTGTTGGAGCATTTACAACCTCTGAAGGCAAGGTACTGGACTGATTAATTGTTCTGTCAGGGAATTTCTTCTTAGTTCTAGATTGCTTCTCTCCTTGATTAGTTTCCACCCATTGCTTCTTGTCCTGCTCTCAGATGCTTTGGAGAACAGGCTGATCCGCTCTTTGTGGCATCCCCTGAGATATTGGAACACTGCTAGCTTGCCACCCCTAGTCCTTCTTTTCATTAAACCAGACATGCCCAATTCCAGCAACTGTTCTTTATACGTTTTAGCCTCCAATCATCTCTGCTGCTCTAGTGATTACTCTATGTGCCAGTAAGTGGTTTTCATCATCAACGATCACATTGATAGCTTATCTCTAGGATGAACCTGTTTTTTCTGGCATCCGGAGGGGCACTCATCGCCACTGCAATTGCACTGCAATCAGGGTGTGTGTGAGTTCATTAGTTTTTGTATGGGAGGGGGTTAATTGTTAGGCACCCAGAATCACCATGAGTGCATTAGGTGGACATATAAATTTTCTTAATAAATGAATCAATCAATCAGAGTCAGAAGCTTCGTTCACAGGAAGTGAGAACTAAGGGAAAGCATCCTTTTGTTGTAGTGCGGGGGAATAGAAATACAAGCAAGCAAACTAAGTGCACCTCTTTTGGGGATCAGTAAATACTGTTGCAGCCAGTTTCTTATCTGGGGGTGTGTGGGATAACTCCTCAAAACCTACCTTTGCAACTGAGGGAAGCTTGACCAGCAAAGCTAGATTCAACTTAGCTATAGAAGATTAGCCAGGTGCTGGGTCCTAAAATTTCATTAAGTTCAAGGTGGAAGGAATAGCCAACACTTTATCAGGAGTGTCAAACTGGCGGCTCACAGGCTGGATGCGTCATGCACAGGTCACACTCACCCAGATCCATGAAGGGAAAAAATGTTGCGATACATCATGGGACTGCAACATGATGCCACGAGTTTGACACCTGTGCTTCAGATGGACTGAAGGTACAGAAGGGTCTTGATAGGCTTGAGCATGGGGCCCTATTCCCCAAAATGCAATTCAGTGATGAGAAGAGTTAAGGTCCTAGACATAGTCAAGAAATACAATACAATACAATACAATACAATACAATACAATACAATACAATACAATACAATACAATACAATACAATACAATACAATACAATACAATA